GTGAAGGTGGAAGAGGCCGCCGCGGCAGCAGGTAGGGGGAAGGGCGGGCGAGGGGCTAGGACCCTGGATGGCGCCAGCCGGGACCGGGGGCGGTTTGATCCCCAGCGCTCGGAGTCGACGGCTTGAGGGAAGGGGCCCGCAAGGAGGGGCGCTGGGCTGCTGCGCACAAAGGCGGAGGCTCCGCGGGCTGCAGGGCGTGTTTGGGGCGTGCGTGAGGTGGTGTCCAGGGTCCAGGGCGCTCGGCGCTGGGCGCCCGCCGCGCGAGCGTGTCAGCCCTCACGCGGACGCGCAGCGAAGGGACTCGTAGGTTCAGATCCCGGGGGCTGGGCCCAGCCAGTCCCATCTGTCCTACCCATCCCTTCCCAGCTGGCACTTGACCCTTGCGGGTCGTCGGGGGAGGCTGGGAGGAGATTGTGGGACCGCCCCTCACCCTCCTTCTCCACTCTCGGGGACCCACACCGAGACTGGGTGGAGAAGAGAAGCAAAGGCACGAGGCTTGAGAAAGAAAAAATTTAAATGGTGGAGAAAAACAATCGTGTTCTGACACCCCCATCTTACTCGAAAGCTGTCAAAAATCTTGGGGATCCTCTAGTCCCCACTTCGTTTGCAAATAAACTGAAGGCAAGAGAAGTGACAGACTGAGCCAAGGTCACGCTGGTAACGGCAGAGCTGGGACTAGAATCCGGAGGTTCTGACACAAGCCACGCTCCTTCCTCCACATCAGCACTTCCTTCTCTCCTCTCCCCCACCCCAACCGCCCCAGCCTGGACTGGTACCTGCTCTTTGTGTTGCGCCGCAGGCCCGTCCAGCTTGTATTGATTCTGATTGATGCCTAGAGAAGACTTGTTGACTGGACTCGGGGGTACATAATGGGGAGGGTTAGTGACCTGGCAAGGATTGGTGACCCATATAGTCCAGGTTTTGGCTTAGGCTTTCTGTCCCTAAACGACCCAGGGTCTGTCTCCCATGTCATTCACCTCATTGCTTTGTTTTCTCAGACCCCAGAGCCAGGAGGAGTGAGAACCCTGACCCCTAACCCCGCTGCATCCAGCCAATAGGAGCCCAGTAAGTGACCCCACCCCCCCAGGCTGCAGGTCTGCACAGGTGCTTGGCCCCTCTCTGGCTCTGCTCAGGTTGAATACATGCTAATTTATTCACAGTCTGGAGGAAGAGTCTTGGGAGGAAGGGAAGCACTTGGTCAATTGGACACAGATGTCCCTTGTCCCTCTTATCTTGTTTCCCCTCTTCCCCCCTTGGTCCTGTTACTCAGGTCGTTTTTTTAGCCCCTTTCCCTTTGAGCTGCTGACCTTGGGGCTTTAGCTGAAGGTCACAGTTAATGGTGAACTCTCAGTACCCGTCCCTTAGTATCTTTGGAGTATTCAGTCACTGAGCCACAAGTTTCACCCCCTAGCTAACTGGGAGTATGGGGTGGCCCCTAAAGATAGCCTGGGAAACCTGAGCCGCACTGCTGCCCCACGCTGCTATTTCCAGCGAGGATAGGGGAGAGGGGTTTGGAGGTGTGGGTGTGAAGGGGGTTTGGGTATGGCCAGTCTGAAGGGAAGTGGTGTCCTGATTCGTCTTCCACAAGCCATCCTCCCAGCGGCCTGGGCCTGGAGCTGGGGGCAGGAAAGGCTCTCTCTGTGTTTTGGAGTAGGCTTCAGCCCCTGGGGCCCTCTGCATCCAGCATTGTCTGGTGCTGAGAGAGGAAGTCAGGTGTTCTGGGAGATGTGGGGGTGTGGAGGCAGCCTCCCCAGTCCCCGTGTTTCCTCACCCTGCCAGGCCACCATGGCGGAGCTGCAGGAAGTGCAGATCACGGAGGAGAAGCCGCTGTTGCCAGGGCAGACACCCGAGGTGGCCAAGGTTATCAGATACCCTCTGACTCCCAGGCCCGCATTTCAGACCTCCAAGCATCCCCATCACTTCTTACCTTCCCAAACTCATGATCTCCTTCTAACCCGCACTTCTGCTTTCTCCCCGTCTACCCACGTTTCTCTTCCCATACGCCATGATTGAGAGCACAGGCTTTTGTCTGGTCACTCTGCTAACCTCCATCCTCTCCATGTCTCTTTTTGTTAATCTCTTTCTGTCTTTGGTCGCTGTGGTCTCTTTACATACCTCTCTTTATCCCTGTCTGTCTCTCCATCTGACTCTACGTGGCTGTGTGTTTCTGTATGTATCTGTCTGTGTGTGTCTCTCTCCAGGAGGCTGAGTTAGCTGCCCGAGTCCTCCTAGACCAGGGACAGGTAACAGCCTGGGGGCAGCCCCAGGTAGGAGGAGGGGCTCTCCTTGCCCCAGGAAGGAGAAGGCTCCTACTTGGCTCTTCTCTCTGCTTCTCTCCTTCTATTCTAGTCCTTTCTGGTCCCCATCTCTTCCTTTTCCTTCTTTTCTCCTCCCTTCCCAGAGTTCCTTGATGCTCTGCAATCTCTTGTTATTCTTTTCCACCCTCAAAATCATCTTCGAGTGTCACATTTTCCTAAACTAAATTCTTGCCAATGCTATTTCTAATGCTGTGTCCCTGACTCCTCCCTTGGCCCCGCCCCACCCAACTCCCTGACTTTTGTGGAGTCTCCTGCCTTTTTTTGTCTCAGACGAACTCCCACCTAATGGTGACCTATTTTCCTGCAGACTCACTCTGTGGAGACACCGTATGGCTCTGTCACTTTTACTGTCTATGGCACCCCTAAACCCAAACGCCCAGCGATACTCACCTACCATGATGTGGGGCTCAACTGTAAGGACCTTCACTTGCCCTCCCATTTCTTCTGGGGGGGAAGGGTCAAACCCCGGGGTGAGGGGAAGGTCAGAATGGGCAGGAAGGGAGCCATGTGGCAAAGTCAAGAAGTTCTCTCCTAGTCTGACTGTGGCATGGAAGAAAGAGGGTGGGTTCAGACTTGGGGATGTTTTCCCTGTCTGATTCTACTGTTGGGGTGATGGGGGTTCTCTTTAGATAAATCCTGCTTCCAGCCGCTGTTTCAATTTGGGGATATGCAGGAAATCATTCAGAACTTCGTGCGGGTTCATGTGGACGCCCCTGGAATGGAAGAGGGGGCTCCCGTGTTCCCTTTGGGGTGAGGATTAGCTCCTTCCCTCCTCATCAGACTGTGAGGCACAGGGCAGGTGTGGGGAAGATCACAGCAGGGGAGGAGAAGAGGGAGGGCAAGTGGTGATTCTGGGAAAGGAGGAGGCAGACACTGAGGTGGGGGCCGTGGGGCCAGGTTGGTATCTTCCTTAACATTCCTTTCTTCCCCAGGTATCAGTACCCATCTCTGGACCAGCTTGCGGACATGATCCCTTGCATCCTGCAGTACCTAAAGTGAGAGGCCTGGGGACCCCTCCAAGCCAGAGTTCTCTTTCCAGCACAAGGTGGCCCTTAGAACTCCTGCGTCCTCCCTGGCTCCTGGGCCAGTTCTCCCTCCTCCTCCCTCCTCTGATTGTTGAGAAGAAGTGGGGTGGGTTTGGAAACCTGACTTGAGTCAGCAGAGTTGCCCTCAGCGATAGAAGAGAGGAAAAGGAAGCTGTGTGCAGGGGGGCCCTGCCTCAGGCTGAGAAGGGACCTGGAAGCTTAGAGAAGAAGCGGAGGGGGCGATGTAGTCCTGCAGAACCAGACAGACCTGTCTTCCCCTCCCACTCCCTCTGACTCCTCCAGACACACACCTGCTGCATGGGCGGGCGCCCTGTGTGTAAGAGGAGTGGGAGAAGGAAGAGAAAGCTGAGCGAGTCCTCCTCAGGGCACGTCTAGTGCAGACGGCGCCTGGGCTCCATCCCTGGCTTGGCTTGGCTTTTCCTGGGCACCGGGGCCCTGGGCAGCTCTGGTTCACTTCTTTGGCTCTCTTCCCTCGCATTCTTCCTGTTGTTCACTGAAGTTGTATCTTTTTTTTTTTTTCTCCCACGTCCTCTTTCAAGTTCCCTTCTTCCTAGTTCCTCTAGAGGAACCAGGAACTAAAACAGAGCAAGTTGAACTGGCTCCTGAAAGTGGAGGATGGACAAAGAGCTATAGAGGAAACTGTCTGGTTGGCAGGCAGATGGGTGTTTCTGTTCAGGACGCTCGGTCTCCCAGAGGGGGCTGGGGAAAGGCTTCAGGGACCTACACTGGCCACCAGGGTCATTTTTAGTTCCTCAGCACCTTCCTTTTCAGCAGTGCTTCTTCCCTCTCACCCATTTAAGGAAGGTCCCTTTCTGTCCTCTGTGACTGTGGCCTTAGGAAGGAGGGAGAGGAGTTTGGAGAGCCACAGTTTGGGACATTGGGGCCCATCAGACCTACATTTCCCTTTCACAGTTTCTCCACAATAATTGGAGTTGGTGTTGGAGCTGGGGCCTACGTCCTGTCGCGATATGCTGTAAGACATAAAAAACCCCCAGACAGGGAGAGGCGGGTTCAAGGCCCGGGCAGACTGATTAGGAGAGGATCATTTGCTAGGGGGTGTGCTCGGCTTGGTGGGTATGAGGGTGGGGAGCCTGGAATGGGTGAGCTTGGTGGGGAGGGGATAAGTCCGTGCCTGCCTCTGATTTCCCTTCTGTCCACTGCCGCTCAGCTTACCCACCCGGATACTGTTGAGGGTCTTGTCCTCATCAACATCGATCCCAATGCCAAGGGCTGGATGGACTGGGCGGCTCACAAGGTTTGGAGGGGTCTGTGTGCTGAGATTTAGGGCTGGCTTGCCCTTGTATGGGTCCATTTAGGCTCTCCCAGCATAACTGATTGGTCTGTGAGCTTCAAGGCAGGGGATGGAGCAGGGAAGAAGCTGTGTCAGTTTGCCTGCATCTCTGCTCCTCATAGCGTCCTGAGCTTTCTCACCTGCCTTTTCCTCATAGCTAACAGGCCTCACCTCTTCCATTTCGGAGATGATCCTTGGACATCTTTTCAGCCAGGTAAGTGGTTGTAGACAATGG